AATAGCCACATGAAACATGGATTATCTTCATATTTAAAAATACTTGTATGATAATGAGTATGATAGAAGTAGCTCAATATTCTGAAACCCCAAGGAACCTGAGGCCTCTAGAGATTTAGTGGTAATCAGTAAGCAAGATTTTTGGTGTTTAAGGTTTTTTTAACTGGGACTTGAACCCAGGGCCTTCTCACTGAGCTATATCGCCCACCATTCGTTTTGTTGTAAATTTTGAGACAGGTATCCCAAAGTCGCTCAGGGTTCCTGCCTCAGCTTCCCATGGTGTGCGCACTGAGTTAAGAAGCACATTCTTACAATACTCCCATGGTGACTGGTGTAAGAATCTAGTGACCCAGCGACTCAGTAGTCCCTACAAGAGGTTATTGAATGTTATTATGTATACTAAGTATAAAATGTTTTGCTACATAAAGAGCAAAAATCCTAAAATAATTCCAAAAAAGTTTTTGAATGTAACTATTCTTTTATCACAACATTAGTAAATGGGGGGGTCTTTTAGATTTTCATTTCAAAAATCTCTTCTCACTTATAATTTCAGCCCTTAGGAGGCTGAGATAAAGGGACCATTGTGAGTGGGAGGCCAACGTGGGCTTTTTTTTAATTAAAAAGTAAAACAAAGACATCTCTTCTGATACCGAGTTTACGGACTGCCCTCTCCATTTCCTCCTGTCAAGGGTTTTATCTTGCAAAATAAGACAGCTCCTATTTCTTAATGTTCTTAGGTGAACTGTATGGGAAATTTTAACAATTCAGATGAATATCAGACATGTTCTATATTTTTTTCTGTAACTGAGAAAATTCTTTGTTTCTTTAAAGTAAGCAAGCTGGGTGTGGTGGCGCACACCTACCAGCCCAGCATTCAGGACGCTGAGACAGGAGGATCACTGAGTGCTGGAAACCACCCTGTGCTACAAAGTGAGCTCGAGGCCAGCCTGAGAGACCCTATCTCAAAAAGACAAACATAAAAAAATAAAAATAAAAGACAAAAATAAATAAAGAAAATAGAGCAAAATAGTTCATATATTCCCAGGATAGCAAGTAAGATAAATCAGAAAATATTTATGAAGAGTTTATTTTGAGACACACACACACACACACACACACACACACACACGCACACACAAAAGCTTTTTTTTTTTTTAATTCCAAGAGAAATACTTAAATATCTTTCACCAGCAAGGTGTAGGAGCAATCCTGTACCCGTGATCCTAGCATTCTGGGAAGCTGAAGCATAAGAAGCGAAAGTTTGAGCTTAGTCTAGGCAAATCAGCCACTTACCAAGTCTTTATCACTACATAAAGGACTGGGGATGCAGCCTCGTGCAAAGTACTGCCCCCAAAATAAGTAAATAACTATGAATAATTATTTTGTAAAAAAGTAATAAGCCAGGCATGGTGGTGCACTCCTGTAATCCCAGCACTCGGGAGGTTGAGGCAGAAGGATCCTTGAGAGTTTGAGAATCAACCTGGGCTACAAAGTGAGCTCAAATAAATAAATAAATAAGTAAATCAAACCAAAGTGAGCTCAAGGTCAGCCTGAACTACACTGCGAGACCTTGATTCAAAAAAAAAGACAAAGAAAAAGAAAACGAAGTAATTAAAAAAAAAATTATCCCAAGAAAGCTACTTTTTAGAGACAGGGTGTCACTATTCATCCCTGGCTGGTCTTGAACTCGCAGAGATCCTCCTGCCTCAGCCTCCCAAGTACTAGGATCACAAGCACGGGCCACCACGGTTACCTTGTTTTAAAAATTAATGTTTCATCCTGCACCCCGCTTTGTTCTTCCTTAGAAGGGTAGCACAAAGAGGTGGAATTTCTTTCCAAGGTGATATGCAGCAAATTCTTATAACAATTAATTAAAAACAAGGAGCTGAATGAGCGGTGCAGCAACAGAGCCCACGCCTACCAGGCATGCGACCCTGAACGAAGAGCACATGGCGGTATGTGGACTGCAGCAGGCTCATTTCATCCTGGCCCTGAGAGCCGCTCAGACAGACGCTGAGCCCACACTTCACGCAACCTATAATCAGTGCTGGGGACACAGCTCAGTGGCACAGTGCACGCTGGCAGGCACAAGGTCTTAAGTTCGGTTCCTGTACCAAAGAAACACCCCTAACCCCAAAGGATACTTGAGAATGCTGATGGGAGCTTCCCGGGGTGGAAAGGCTCCTGGGCCTCCTGCGGAAGAAGGCAGAGGCTGCTGCACTTCTTGCAGTGTGCGTGGCTCTCACCCCTCATGCCCTGCACAGTGCTGTGGGTGCCTTCCGCATGCCGTGCACTTGCCGTTCACGCCCCGTCCACGTGCTGTACATGTGCTGTCTTCTTGCCTGTGTGCTGTCCACATACCGTCCACGTGCCGTGCGCCTCACTTTCGGCTGTCCCCGGGAAGCCCCTTCTTGCCTGGCAAGTGCAAGGGCCTGAGTCCAATCCCCGGTTCCACCAAAAAAAAAAA